CTACGCAAGACAACAGCACTTCAAAGAGAAGGAAATCTTGAAACAACCCCTATACCAACCCGTCTGGCCAGCGTGGTATAGTAGGCCAAAACCTCTTTTCTAAAGAGAGGCCTATGTCCAGCAGTGGACTAGTAAAGGCTGGTGATGATGATAATGAAAGTAAACACACTTCCGTCTTTATACCGGAAACGCTTGACAGAGTCGTATCCTACGCCCACAATTTACCGACATTAACTTTAGTCCCACTTCGTAATGATGGCCAAGCTTATGACTGTCAACCGAGCACATATATTTAATAAACTTTCTTATATATTTCTAAACACATATCCCGCCATAAACATTTTCATAGAAAATGTTTCCAAGAAGAGATCATATGGCTCGCACTGTCAAAAGTTATCAGATCTCATGTAGAGCCAAACTTATAACTCTACACGCCCTAACTCTAGAAACCCTAACTTCACAAACTCTACACCTTAGTAAATATGTGGTTGGCCGTTTTTGGTCTGTTTGTCATCGTTTGTTTTTTTAGCCAATAAAATCTAAAGTACAAGCACTTGGAACAATAAATATCTTTACTTAACAATAATTATCTTTAATAAATCTACTATTGACATCGTATCTTGAGAATTTTGTTTATCTGGTATAATCCGAATCCAAGTTATGTAGGTTCAAAAAAACGACCAAGTGCTTCGAGAAAAGGTACCACAGATTAATGATTACACTCAGAAACAAAACAAATGATTACACTCTTCACACGATATTTGTAGCAATGAGAAACCCACGACCTCTGGCTTAGCAGTCAGGATCACTAATCACCAACAGACCAGTCAGTTGCAAAGTAGATGCCTTGAAAATTACCTATGCTAAAACGGTTACAGGAATATCAGTTAATGAGGGATACAACATACGAGGATATATTCATCACCGGTCGCCTGTAGCTTGTTGTTCTTATCGTCTAGTCATAATGTTTAAAGTTAATAAGATGACATTTCAGATTATACCGATCGTTGATGATAAAATAAAACTTGAATCTTGAACTTGAAACTTGAACAGTTAAAATTGAACAGAATCGTGGGCAAAATTACATAACCACACAATCTCTAATAAACAAAAATATGCAACGAATTAAATGACTAAAACCTTAATTCAAATAATGACTAGAATTCTATTTAATGCACGTATCGTCTGTAATTATTTTTCATATTTGAAATATAACTATTAGATATTGCAAACTATTAAGCAGTTATATATCGTTGTTTATATCCAATTAACAAAGACTTAAATATAATTAAATTCATTGAATTTAAGTGCAAGGTCGCATCTGACGTCGTTGCTAATCTAAGAACAATAAATTAGTATTTTACGGGCCGTTAATGAATGCTTACAAAAGTATTCAAGTATATACAGAACATGTTATTCATGTGCTTTTTGTTATAAAGTAAGGGTGTGTCATCCTACTAGATTTGTCAATCCTAAGAATAATAAAATTGTTAAAATTTAAGTCGACTTAGATTTCATCGGAAATAGGTGTTTGTAACGTCGTGAAAGAGTAAGAGTAAGTAAGATACAAAATACAAATATGTTAAAGGAAAACCAGTCAAAAACACTTCACTTCTTCAGTCCGACTTGTAAAAATATCTGAAAAGATTTACTTACAGAAATAAATATCATTTATGTCTACTATCATATTTTTTGTTCGCAAAATCTAGGTACAAGTCCATAACTGACTGTTTCTGTCTACTACGATATAAAAAGATGTTTATCAGTAACATCACCTATCATATAATCCTTTATAAAGAAGCATTTAATGCCCTGATAGCTGTCGATATAACCGCTACTTATCTTTTTTAACAGTTATGTTAAAATAGCAGGATTACGATTAAGTGAACATAGAACCCTACCGACGTGACCTCACCATTATTCTACACGCTCTGACTGAGTTAAAGGGTTTGACAAGAATACTTAAAGTTTTAAACCCATTATACTCGAACAGTAAAATAAGTACATAACTACAAGAATTCTGTGTTGAAAAAGGGGAATTAAGCTGGTAAGATATTTTTGAAGTGAAAACTTCTTTAGGCGCGTTGGGCATTTTTGAAAAACAAACAAAAAAAATGTATTTTTTGAGATGAAAAAAAAGCCATTGAACTCGACACTCTTGCCGTTACCGACGCCTCTGTATACACGGTGTAAAGGAAATCTTAACGAATACTGAAATAGTGTATTCCGACCAACAGTCTGAGTCTAAAATCATTGGAATTTTCTGCCGGCAAATTAAACTTTTTATGCAATTAGCTGTCAAAGGTAAAGGTCATTCCCCGTAGGTATCGCACAATAGTAATATCTACATGTGTATTCCGTGCAAACAGTCTACGCACACTAACACAAGTTGGCGGCCGGAGGGGCGGCTCCGCGCGCTTCGGCTGTTTGATTAATTACATTGCAGTTATTGACCGTATTTGGTATTTATTTGTTTTCGGTGAAATGTTCTGTTTACTCATTGTGGTTTCCTTTTTAACCAAAAAAAATAAATAGAAAATAATGATAAATTTTCCTAAAGAAAATTCCAATGATTGCTACTCAGCATCATGGTCTGAAAACACTATTTAAGTATTCGTTACGATGTCACCCAAGGGCGGATCCAGCTTTGGTGCCAGGGGTCACATAGTCGTGGTCAAGTCACAAGAAGTTATAATTTAATTTTTATGATCATACATAAAAGTAAAAAGTAGGTATTTTATTAATGTATGTATAGTCTGGCAAAAACGGGTAGAAACGGCAACTAAAATTTCATTATTTTGGCAACCCTTTCTCTACTTATCTATGGTTAAGAACGGGTTTCTTGTCTATGGTACAGGTACCGAAGACGTCAGTCAGAAGTAATAATTCCTTCTAAAAGAGAATTTATCTATTTCGCGTATTTAGCTTGCACAGTGGCGCCCCCGTTTATTTCTATTATTTTTTGCCAGACTATAAGTACCTACTCACCTACTGTACTTAAAACTACCTATATTTAAATCACAAAATCAGGGGTGCAGGGGAACGGTGGGAACTCATGCGTTCCGCCAAATAGATCTAAAAATCGACTTCTGCGCATTCAAGGTCAGCGCTCATAAACCATTGCGATACTTATACATAAGTCACACTCTTTCAGTAAGTAGGTACCTATATCTACTTATCTATCTACGAGGTAATCTAGGAACATTAACAACAATAACATTTGAGTTTAATTGAACACACACTAGCATAATGAAGAAACTGATTTACCTACTTACTTACCATTTCTTGTAATGAATTTGCAGCAAAAATTTCCAAGAACACTATTACAATTATAATGGAATTTCAAAGTTTTTTAACATAATACTATGTTATCTAATACGAAATTAGCAGTTGAATGAAATGAAGTAAGTTAGTGGTTCCGTTCCGATTGAAGTTAAGTCCAGGGTTAAAAACCCTAAAAAATATTTACCCCTAAACATAAGTCAGTGTCACACGAAATGAGACATCAGATGACAGGAGGATGAAAATTCAAATTTTCGATGCGTTCGTTCCCGAATAATGCGTATGCCATCATACAAAATATTAATATCATATTTATTTAAATATTGAAGGTATTTACATAAAATCTATATTGTGACAAAAAAATATATCCTTACTTAAAACCTATGTTTAAAAAAAATTACCTATGTTTAATAATTTTAAATAGTGGTCCACGGTGGACCCAGCCCAGGGGGGGTCATGACCCCCATGACCCACCCCCTGGATCCGCCCTTGGTTACACCCTGCATAAGTATCAACATAAATTAGCCCCGTTTACACGAGAGTTGAGTTTGCATTTAAATACATTGATAATAGTATAACTATATATTATATAAACATATATATTGTGTATATCCGTACAACATATATATTCATGTCGGAACTTTTCTAATCGAAAAAACAAAAACAAATCCTGTTATTTTATTATCAACAAATTTAAATTTTCAAATTTTCACTTGTGTCGGCAGTCCCGGAGTGCCACTGTTTTTTCTTTGCTTTTCACCGAATGAGTGAGGCTACCAGAGCCCAAACCCCCCACCCTGATTATGGAAGGAAAGATGGGCGATTCAAAGAGCCGCAACGCACTTATGATATTTGCAGGTGTCCATGGACCGCGTGTCAGTGGTCTTACTGTGGTGGTCTTACCATCAGGTGAATCGTTTGCTTGTTTGCCCCCTATACCATATAAAAAAATCTAAGGTAGCTCAAATTTAGAAATTAATAAAAATGTTTGTTTACACATTCGCTTATCTATGTCACTTAGCATTCATTACAAAATAAAATGTTTACACCACTCCGTATAATGTCATTGAAATTTGCAAAAGAAATTCTGAGGCAAGTTTAAAAGAAATAAAACGACATTAGTGGAGATTTTTTTTTGAAGGGTAGTATGGGCCGAAGTACTATTACCGATTCTATTTAACGGTATGACGCAGATGGCAAAATTATGTGAACATTTTTACCGTGACTCATGTTGTTGCGTAACAGTCTAATTATACGAAGACAGTTTTTATAACCTGTCGTATTGTTTTATAGATTATTCAGTAACCTTTTGTTAATATAGGTGTGTAAGACGTTAGAAGTAATAAATTATGCATCTAAGGCGTATGCTACAAACCGTTAATTTATAAATGTACCTATCTACGTCGGCATACTGATTATATGACCAAATTTTGTAAACTAATTAAAAAATCAATGTTATTTCAATGTTATCTTTCAATTTGTCACATTAACGTGTTAAGTTCTTTTCGTATAAAGATATAAACACAACAAACCCGTCAATTCATAATATAATATTTTTCTAATCTTTCTTAACCGATTTTAATGAATGTTTTTTCGTATATTTGGTATGTATGAGAATAGGTCGTAAAGTATTTTTCACCCTCCTACCCCACCCTACATTTTTAAACGCAGAACAACGTTTGCCGGGTCAACTAATTTATTATAATATTCTTTTGCAGGGTTCAAGTCCTGAGTGTTGTGCAGACAGTGCAGGTCTGGAGACACCAAACAACATTGGTACGCCAGCACCTCCTCCAGGGCCAAGGTACAAGCTGGCCATAGAGGGCTCTCTGAGGGTGTGTTGCTTTCAGCACACTAGGACTGTAGTAGACAAAATCCTAGCCGCCAAGTTCCTGAGAAGATGGGAAACACACGTCCTGGTTTTAGAAGATCAAAACATAATTTCTAAAACGGTAAGCGTACTCACAATTCTGTTTTTGTAATGGCTTACGTATTTTTTTGTGTTGCATATGTAGTAGAATACCAAAGATTTGATTACGCAACAAGTGCGTCATGCAGATACCAAATATGCGTCTGTCACGGGAATGATACTCACGATTACATATGTTTTGGTAATATATTATGATCTACAAATACAAATACGATTACTACGAAAAACATTTCCAATTTTGCAAGTCGTCAAGTGTTCTGAGTTTGATTCTAATGTGTAAAAATTATTATTCTTCTTTAACGTCTGAGTAGTTATTATTAAAAGTATTTATATTGTAGGATCGGGAACAGAGTCCACATTTCATATTGGTATGTACCAATCCGTGTCCAATTAATACTCCGACACTGCAACTTATAAAATAATTTATTAAATACCTAATTGAGGAAAACCACAACAAGATAAGTTTCATGGAATAGGTTAACAAATACACAGAGTGAGATCGTTAATTTTAAAGGATCTGTCTTAAATGGGTCTTCCTCATTCACGAACTCAATAGCCAATATAATTCATAGATATCCTATGTACATATATATACTTACTATATAATTAAGAAATTAACTGTGACATAGTTTCTATTAATAGTCAAACGACTTACATTAAACTGTTAAAACCAAGTAGGTCTTAAATATTAACGTATTTAGTTCGTTAAATTTTTATGAGGGTATTGGTCGAGCGTCACATTAATGACTTTGATCTTTCTTTAGTACCTAAGAGTATTTTTGAAAAACTCGTTTGGGGTGGCATCGATTTAATTTGATAGATAGCTAAAGTATGTCATAAGTTTTATTTTAATAGATACTTGCTGGGAGCCCGATGCGTAATTGTTTCTAACAATCACGATTTTTGTTATCATTGATAAACTGTAATAATGTCCACACCCTCGGACTCATTGACAGAAGTGATTCCAACAGTGGTAAGAGTTTATTTAAACTCAAATTAAAATCTATTTAGTTAATAGAATTCTTTATACAGTTTTTGAAATTTTCCTTTTAAAGTAATACCTTGTTGTTTAGAAAAAAGGATATTCGTGTCTAATCCTAGTAATCCCAAAAAAACTGTATTCTTCATACCTTATTTACAACCTCTAGAGTTGAAATTATTTCAAAATAAAATGGAAGAAACCTTGAGAACTAAATTATTTTCACTTAATTTTTAATTATATCAAAAGTTTAAAGTGAAATCAGTTCACAATAAGTAAAATATATCCCGTAAAATATACATAATTAACATAACCTATACACCATTGTAGGCTGTTTTTGAATTTGATTAATCTTTCAGTTCCACTTCATCATAATATGCATTGTGTATAATATTATAACATTAATTCCTTATCATACATATTTATACATTTTATTAAGTTATTCTGGTGGCCATGTGTAGTCTTTATCATCAGTGTGTATTGCAGAAATCAAATTGTGTTTTTTTAATACAAATACACGTTACTATGTAAATACTTATATCCTTGAAGACTTTCCTCAATTTCTCCTGGGTTACATGGTCAGATAGTGGTCTGATAATTACCAGCTGGAAATATTATACCAATTTTTTAATTTCGGTTTTACTGTAGACAAACTTTTTTACCCTTACCCATTGGTATATTATGTTTTTAAGGTTTACTTTATTATAAAATCACACCCTGACTTGTTAATTTTTAGACCCTAACGACATTTTCAACAAGTTGATCAATATGATTGAATGAATATTAAATATATTAAGATATTGAATATGAATTGAAAGATTGTATTTCACAAAAAAAAAACTTTATGTTTAGGGTTTTCATTAATATATTTATATCTTAAAAGTTTTTGTTAAGTGAAAAACGATCGCTTGACGTTATCATTTGCTTGCAATATCACGTACCTACTCGTGAAAAAAAACACACACCACATGGAATTCTCTTCGGAATTATACTTACATACATACTATTATACATCTAATGTTCTTAATTTGTAATTTAATTATTCATATTCAGTTTAAAGGCAATGATGCATTTAATATATAAAAATAAGTTTACTTACGTATAAATTTAAATCGTTGTCCTTCAACTCACAGTAGCAAAAGTCCTTATCTTAGCTTCGCTACGATCGAATTTCGAGTTATCATTAAATAGCTCATAATCATCGATCTGCATGCACCTGTACAAATAGAAGCATTATGTACGTCAACGATTACTCATTTATAATATTTACGCTTAATAATTAAGAAATTTAGTTGATTTACACTTACGTCATTTGGTGTGACATCAACAACGATTATTTTTACAACAGTTACGAGTACGAGTATTAAATAAACAATGACTGTGTTATGGCATTTTGTACAAACATATTTTAAAATTACAAAAATTTTTTAGGGTGCTTTGCTCTAAGATGAACCCTTATATAGAGAGAGATATATATATATATATATATATGTATGTATATATATATATATATATATATATATATATTCTGTCTATACATATATATATACACACATATATATGTTGTTTATACATGTATATAATAGGTAGTCTGTTTGTCTGTCAACCCCTTTTTTTCAGGCACGCGTAAAAATCTTATGCCGGGCTGCTTGAAGTTGTAAAAAAAAACAAGTTTAATAAATAATATTTATGGCAACGCAATAATAAGATGATGATTAAGCCTATACCAATTTTAACATTACGCAGGTAAATCGAAATTATTTTGAAATGTAATTGAATTATGAAATTTGGAAAGAATCAAGTTTTTACAGCACAATTAAAGGAATAATGCGAAAGACATTAATTTATTTGACTTGATTTGTTTGTAGTTGCAATATTGATTGTGAGGTTCATCGATGTATCGGAGCTTAAGTTTAGGAGTGACAAGTTGGGCTGGTCTTATGAAAAGATAACAGGCAACAATTTTAGCGGTTCTTGAGATGAGAGACTTGACTTGCTTTCGTCATTTAAATTATTTTATTAAAATGAAATAATAGTAATTAATTACATTTAACATCCATAAATATATTTATCGTACGATACTTCGACTGTAACAATAATGTATACAGTAAAGAGATATCGATGTGTCTAAATTATTATGTGAAGAGAAGCCTTTGTACCTACGAATTTTAAGGAAAATTTTACGAATATAGGAACGTGAAATTCAGATTTAAAAGTACTAAGTATTAAAAATATTTTATTAATAATTAAAGCAAATTTCATAAATATAAATTTTTTATCAATATTACTACATATAACATTAATTAATTCCTCACCGTCTGCAGGCCTGTATGGAATGTCTGGACGAATATACTTTTCTTTGAAATTTATCTTAACTGAAAATTATCAGTTAAGAATATAAAAACATCAACACTGCGTTAGACACCATCTAAAAAAGAGGATTGTTTTTGAAACAACATTCTAAAACAAATATTAGTAAATGGACTAATGAATGTTCCTGAAACGCCACAGGCCTTTTTAGTTTAATAGATTTTGTTTTAGTATCTTCTCTGTGTAATGCGTTTAATGCGAGATCAGCAAATACGTCACGACTTGTATAAATATTTTCCAAATACTTAGTCGTTGCAGTTGTTTTTCAGTACATTATGGGCAAATAACCTTTTTATTATTTGCTTACATTATGTATTGTTTGTTGTATCAGATTCATTTTTACCAGTACAACAGTAGTAGTAGCAGCAGATGTACAACAATGACTTCACGTGTTGTACAAATGTACAAAACGTAAAGTCTATTCGACATTTTACTATAAGTTTACCTTAAGTATGAAAACTAATAATTATAGGGATTGAATAGTGCGAGTTTTTTCTATTTTATACAGTTGTATAAAATCTCAAAACATTATCAAAATGGCAAGAAATCAACAAGTAATAAATAATAGTTTAAAAAACACACTTAAAATCATTTTATCGCATAACAAGCAGGGGATGCTTTCTCTGATAAAATGATTTGATCTTAATTAGTATATCAACTTTCTACTCTTTTTCGATTTTCGCGAAAACTTGTAAGTACCAAAATTTACCTTAATTTTCAACTTTTTTTATTTTTCAGAATTTTCTCTTTACTTGTGCTGTAAGACCTTGCTTTTAACCAAAATTGTCAATTCTAGGTCAACCGGAAGTACCCTATAGGTTTTGAGTCGAAAACCTATATGGTAGTTCCCGTTAACCTAGAATCACGAAATTTGGCAAAAAGAAACGTCTTTCAGCACAAATAAAGGAATATTTCCAAACAATAAAAAAGTTGAAAATTAACATAAATTTTGGTACTTACAAATTTTCGCGAAAATCTACGTAAAATCTGGGTAATCTGGGTATCGGAACCCTCGGCGCACGAGTTCGACTCGTACCTGACCGGTTTTTTTTTAGTCTTTAATTATATTTTTATATATTGAAATATTATAAATATAATATTTCAATATATAAAAAAACAAGTAAGTCACATTTGCTTCAGTACACGCCTTGGTACGTGGCACAAGATACTACCATGTTTTCTGATATGGAAAAAATCATTAATCCTGAAGTTCTCAATCAGGATTGTGGGACAAACTTATTATATTACATACTACTAATAACAGTGTGTTAAAAAACCGTGTACTTTTCTATTTTCAATATAGGTAAAAGTACAAAACGAAATATAAACAGTGAAATGTAAGTTGGTCAGACATCATGTATTTTATTTGTATTTGGGCAATGCGTTTGTTCAATTTTTAATAAACTTTTCGTGCCAGCTATCGACCACATTATTGCTATATGATTATGACTTCGGCGAAATCTCTTTCAATTTAATTATGTTTTGAAGTAGCGCTTGGCTTCACGTTTAGGAAAATCCTATTCCCACATGTGAACCTACTTACCCTTTTCCACGTAACTAAGCAACCAATTCCAACAACTGTTTTTGGTGATATTTATACATTTACTATTTCCTGTGAATGACGGATACAGCCGGGAAAACCACAGTTATCAGTAGTCAAAACAATGTTACTGTAATCAATATGTTTTAGGTAACTATTTTAGCTGCAGTTATTAGCAAATACACAAAGTAGCTATTTGAATTTTATTTTTGGAATATTTTGGACAATTGAAGAAAAACATTACACAAGGCATAAAACATACACGTTCAATTACACTAACTTTTTTAACCCATAATTGACAGAGAAAGATAGAGAGAATATAGAATTCTGTGAGTAGTGAGCTTATAGAATTCCCAAAACTCCCCCTCTCCTAATTCTGAGGGGAGGGCCGAGGGTCACACAGAGGTTTGTAGTGAACTGTGATTTATCATTGGATTTTTACTTACGTAGATTAGGATTTAGCAGGTAAATAGGTTAGACGCTATTTAACAGGAAATCTAGTATTTTTTCAATTTTTTTGTAGGGATTGGTAGCTATATATAATAAAATAATTACTAGATTTTCTGTTAAATAGGCGAAATAGGGTCTTTATGCATCGTCTGAAAACAGCTTATCCACAACAACACGTGAGTAAGTAGTAACCCTAACCTACATAAGAAAAAATCGAATGACAAATCATTGGTCTTTCACAGTTTACTGTGATTTTGTCCAATGCCTAGTTAGTAGCGCATCTAAAGGTATCTCTTGAGTTGGAGATATCCATGGGAGACGGTTTACCGGCACGTGACTCTTCTGTTGACCTTGTTACATAAAAAATTGAGAAGTTCTAGATAAACGGTACCTTATGTCACTTTTTGTTTTAGCACGGTTTGTCGTGACGCCAGTGGCAACGAGTAAAATTATCATATTGTTACCTACTTCTAATCGTAGTCGTTGTCATTTACCTAGTCATACATTGGTTGGTTGACCTGTCACCGTACGAAAAATCATGATAGCCGAAGTTATATGGGTCAAAATGTGTCTATGTATACCTATATATTATATTATGATGACATGTCGTTGATGATTACCTGTCTAATAACTATCGGCTATCAGAGTGTTATCGCTGGTAATGTGCTCAGATACCCATATCTATTTACAACACGTATTCACACTAGTGGTCTATAAGCGGTCAATGATCATGTTGCATTGTTCTCTAGTACCAATGTCCTTATCTATTTGACAACAAAGTCATTCGTATTGATATTCGAGCCTACTTCTAAATGAAATATGGTGATGGGTCCCCAATTATGGTGTACACCCAGTGACGTAGGGTAAACAATCTGAACTAAAAGCTTGGCAGTCATGCATTAAAACAGATTTCTAATAAAATTTCAGATATCCTATTGGGCTAGGTCATCCGCCTCATAAAAAACTACTGTTAACCGTCTTTAATATTTAGTAAAATGTTGTTTATAATTTGTGACTGATGCCTGCACCTTGACCCCTGCACACTGATGCACAGACAGAACTGTGATTATACACAATAATTTTTTTTATGATATTGACAATTAATCGATTGCTGTAGTAATTATAAAAGACATAAAAATAAACCACAACAGTTTTTTTTTATTCAAGGATCTGTGACAACCCTGCGCGTGCATTGTAATTCAAATCATGAATAAAAATAATCAATAGGTATTATTAATTTATGACGTTTGGTGTGTTAATTAGATGATTGCAACTCCGTTCCGAACCCTTCATCGAGGTCAATCGAAGATAAGAGAACGTTTGTGCGTCATCACTTTTATATTAAACGTCCGGCTACCGATATGTAAACGTTCAGAACATTATGTAATGTGCAAAACAATACTTTGATACCCACAGATTATATTCATTTTGAAGACATGAAAAAACAGGGTAGAGATATAGTATTATATAGGTAACACCCAAGCTGCCCGAGAGAAAGTAAACATAAATGTTTACGTTTACCTATATAAGCGGCTATTGCTGTTCAAAACAGTTCTCTTTGACGTCATTTGTGCGCACAATACATTCCATATATCCTAGAATATGATCCTCATTTCCAAATTGTAGTTAAGCACTACTTACTTATGCACTTATTGAAATTGAAGTTCTGCGGACGTAGTTAAATTAATGACTTATTTTTTAATTATACCGACTTTTGTTTGCAGTTACGCTGGCCCAAATTTTTCTGGATAAAAATGACGGTCAGATAAACGGTACAGCAGCGCATTATTTTTGTACATTAAATGAACCATTATTTAGTCTAGGCATTAATCATCAGTGAATGCCCTCGTTTCAGATCGACTTGCGGGAAAGAAACAAAACACTTAAAAGTTTTCACAACAATACTTCTATTTATATTTTCTATTTTAGTTTTAAACTCGCAAATAAATATAATTGAAGAATGTTCCATTAGCGTCATTACTGCATTGTTTAGGACGATAGGTGCTCGTGTAGTGTAAACAAAAAAGTAATAAACTTCTGAATTCAGGCGGTTTGTCTGCAGACTTTGCCGTGAAGGTAAAGTATGACGCGGGATCTCTACGCTAATGTCAGAGGTCGATCGTATTTAGACTAAACATATTAATTTAATTAAGATTCATATCTTGTGTTTAGTTATCGTTTTATTTTTGAAATAACTGTAAGCCCATTATTTTAATTATAGAAGGTTTCTACAGAGGGCACTGTGGCCCGTTGGTCCAAGTCTGTGGTCAAAGAATTGTATCAACATAAAAATTACACCATAACCAAAAAGAAAAAGTAGGTTATAGATAAATCATGCTTACTCAATATCGATAATTCCATACATATTCACATAGAAACGAACACCCACACCTGAAATTCATCTACTCGAAGTCGAGCAGTCAAAAGTATCTACGGGTAAAATTCAAGGCCGTAGGACAAGTCAGTCCCACAAAAAACAAAGCAAGCATTCAGTAATCTTGAAGGTCCCTTTTGCTTCGTTTGAATGGGGTATTTGTACACGTGCAGACGTATTAAACGCAAAAAAAAATAAAAGGCTATAAAATTGTTTTATTGCGTGGATCTCAGGGTTAACAGTATTACGTCATAATCCTGACCGAATGCTACTGGTAGTATTTAAGTAAGTATAATAAAATAGGTTTTGAGACGTTGCGTTGCGGTGTTATATATTGTAATCCCCTTCAACGCCTTAAACTGCAATCCAACTCTTCATGGTTGTTCATTAGTCTTCCAAAACTATTTTTTTTTTATATTTATGCAATTAAACTTAGTATTGTCATACTGGTTGAAAGACTGATCAAAAATCGTTCTTTCTATATTTGGTTACAAATAAAAAAAATAAGCTGTGAAACTCTACCTTTTACATTGATTTGTAGTACTTAATTTTGGATGAAATTCGAAACAAAGGGAAGCGACCTTACGAAATGAGCCCTGCATCCCGGTATACATATACTTACGTGCTTAATAAATATGAATACCGCTTAAGGAAGTTTTTAATATAAGGCCCATAACAGAAAGAGTACCATCCATAGTGAAAAATAAACACTTGAATGCTAAGAAATGTATTGTCAAGGGCGCCTCTGTATAAGTGGTAAAGCAAGATTGTCATCTTACTCTTTGTTCTCTATGGTCTTGACGTACACAACTACTTATATACGTCAATTCGTATTACAAAAAGCGATAACTGTAATCCACTACGTCTTACCCACCTCGAACAATGTAATGTTACCTTATTACCTAAACATTGTATTGTTGTTAACTACTGCCGGCAAAATATGAAGTTGAAAAATAGATTTTATTGTTCAACTGACTTCTTATAATCAGCTCTGAAATAAAAAAAATAGATATATAAGACAATAGTGTAAAAGATAGAAGTGTTCTAAAATATGAACGAAGGTTATTAGAACAAAACTCTCGTCAGATTTCAGCTTATTGAAATTAATTTATTGTTATCTGACTATAAAATCATTCATCATTGATCAGCAGGACGGGAAATAAAGTTAAGATATATATAAAACTAGCGGACCCGACAGACGTTGTCCTGTCAAATTTGTCGATGGTAGCGCCGTCTGTCGGATCCAATGTAAAACATTCCAAAATCAACAACTACTAATAAATTAAAAATTAATTAAAAAAACATTGTCCAGCGGACAAAATTGTGAATCTAAACCATTCCCAGATCCCCTTGAACACACACAAAAAATTTCATCAAAATCGGTCCAGTCGTTTGAGAGAAGTTCAGTGACATACACACTCACAGAAGAATTATATATATAAAGATTAAGCCAGCAGTTTTTCCTTTAGTATCTTCTGAAAATTTATATTTCACACAAGTAAAATTTACCTGTAATAATAAAAAAGGTTTACGTAAACGAAATGCATACCGTTGAATTAACTATGGTAGAGAGTGTCTTCGGCAAATACATACATATGGTATAAACCGGAGTAATACCACGGCTCACAAAAAACTGGTGTTAAGCATGTGAGTGACTCATATACATTTACATTGTTTACACTCAACATAACTTTCAACAATTGCATTCTATTCATATGTATTTAACTTGTGAAAGTAAATTATCACCCTCTTATCGTACGCGACTGTTATAGTACGAGATCCGGCTGCAGAATCAGTGCACTCATCGAGTATGTGCTAAAAACCCACGCATATTTATGATTAGGAGAATATATATAAAGCCATTTCTATTATATTTTGATATAAAACTATTTTAGATTGTTAATAATTCGGACGTGCGTACGGGTCACGAACTTAGTCGTTACTAAAGTCGTCATTTTTAGCGTTACGTCGTATGCTAGCTACAACAAGTAGATGTTGCTTGCCTTTGTGGTCCTGTAAGCGGAATCTATTAGAGGGTAATCTGTGAGTTGAGAACACTAGCATTCGACTTATGCGCAATGGCTTTAAAGCGTCGTACAGCTGACAATCGCTATCCTCGTCTGACTAGTGATGTTACGCGCTAACTCTCTTTCAATCTAGCTTAAATATTTACCATCTTTAACAGCCATCTACCCTTATTTGCGGCCAGATTTAATTAGGCAGCCGTATATCATGGTAAACAGAAAAAAAAAATAGCTTTAATTTTATATATAAATAAAAAAACGTACGTTATGAACGTATAAATGTCTCAAAATCATTCCTGTTTACACCTGGCTGCAAAGAGGTACGGCCGAGTGCGCAACGGCAACCGTGATTTTTCATAGTCTTTATATATATTGCCGTAAAGTGGACGACATTTTATTTAAAAAACAAGTGAACGAAATGTTTTCCCAAAAATCAATTAACAAAAATTTAATAAAGAATTCTAGCGGCCACATTTTGATAGGCCACTTGATATATATATAATCTCCTAATCATAAATATGCAAATATGGGTTTTTAGCACATACTCGATGAGTGCATTGATTCTGCAGCCAGATCTTAGACTATTATGGTTGCCTATAACACAACGTCGCAGTTTGAGAGCCTTCCTCACTCACCTAATTTACCTAGAGTTCCTTTTAGGCGAGTTCCCTTTGTCTTCGAAGGACATACATCTGTTTCTTAACTAACAAGTTTTTTGTTGCTTTTCGGGATGGAATAAAATCACAATCTGTGACTAATTTACAAAACCAATGCGACTTGTTATTGATATTCCGCTAGCGCCAAAGTCGCGAATAGTAGAAATTTTAAAAAATTAATACCAAATCACAATCACAGGTGAAATAGGTGTAATTATAACAATAATTTTATCACATGATTATGACCTAAAAGTAGCAATAATTTCCATGTCTGCTTGTAACCGATTAAGTGAGGTTATCAGGCAACCAAACTAAACCTACGCTTGAGTATCCTCGCTTAAGTATAGGTCTTTTGAATTGCAAGTGTCTATGGAAGGCGGAAGTCACTAAGGCGTTACTATAAAGTGACCCGTCTTCTCGTTTATCTCCATACCTACACCATGTAAACTAGAGTAATTCTTTTAAAAGTAGTTATGGTATGTATATATATATATTTATATTATTAAAACAATGAATGTTATCGCCGCTCTCATTGCGTCAAACGTTCAAGTACATTAGCCTCACATTGTTAAACGACTAAATACACACGTAGTGGACATAAAACTGTCTAAGGCAATCAAGGAGAGTTAATACAAAGTATACGGGAATAAATCTGAGTTGAAACTATAATAACTACCATTAACCAAATAATAATACAACAAAAGAATTTTGTGTATAAGAATTTTTTTAAATTCTTGCGACTTTCTCTATGCCCTTCTTTTTATCCAAAATTTGTACGTTACGTACGTAGCAAAAGTGCAATAACAATAATCACATTAACTTATACATATACATTTAAATAACACAACAAATTGTATCTTTATAGTTTACAAAACACAAATGTGTGTTTTATTTTTAAAATATGATTAAAGTACTTCTACTTCAGCTCCCGGGTATGCCATTGCGGCAATGCAGAAGCCACGAATATGTGATTTTTTCACTAAAAACCATACCAACATGAACGGCCTCAAACGTCGTTCTTTGAGGACCCGGCCTATGTGTTTTCGAATTAGCTGACGAATCGAGTCGGCACCCCCCCTCCCTCCCTTCCTCAGTCGACGCCGAGCCTTTATGATCATTAATTTACTCCATGGAAAGTTTTAATGAAGATATTGATATTTTATAAAATCTGAAACTAATTACTGAAATTTCTAATTCGTTAACATTCTTAAGACGAGGTTGCAGCGATTTTGCACTTTTTTGAAGAGTAATAAATACACTTATATGCATTGATTGTGCATGAAAATAAATATTTTATAAAAATTAAACATATAATCTAAGAATCCGCAGAGATAGAAACATGATTAATGGAATTTTGCTTGATAAAAATCACAAACATAGCACTAACTCACGATTTCAGAAATAAATTAGTATGAAATGCCACCATGGATTCAGGTAATATTTATACCAAAACATGTAGCTTATTTTTTTGGGAGTTGTAGAAATACATTTACATTTATTTACTTATAAAAATATACTTATAAATAAAATATATTTACTTATAAAAAAAACAAACATGTTTTTGTCTTTGCTTCCGGCGTCGAAGTTCGCCTGTTGGAGCTTATTGAGCCTTGTTTGAGGATGGACGCAAGTTATTTTGCTCCGTGAAATTTCCCCGTTTAGAAACGAAAATTGTTGATTGAAAAATGGTAAGTAATGTCTTCACATTATGTACATTTAATATTAGTATTATGAAGTACATTACATTTTTATATTACTGTTATTTAAGTTAAGTTTATAAAAAATAAATATAATAGAGTTCTAATTTACATTTACATTGTCAGTTTCACTGTGCCACAGTCTAAAAATTACAGTATGCATTTGAGTACGGTTGATAAACGGCATTGCATTGGTATCAGAAAATATTATTAGAAATTTCTATTTTTGGTATAGTCAGGCACATTTAAATTATGTGGAATCCAACAGTAATATAAGTTTATTTGTTGTTATTTTGCAGCACTTCAATGAGACGAAGGAAATCCACAAGCGTAGTTGAGACCCTACAGAAATTAATTTCTTTGGATTGGATCTTTTTTGTGTAGAAAACGTAAACAGGAATATGGTTACAGAAATTATCGAGCATATGGTAAATTATGTCACGAATGTGATAAAATGAACCATTACAGTGTAGGGGGCTAATAAAAATGTGCATAATTTAAATTTAGAAGATGTTTACAATAGTGTACATAATTTATTAGTAGTTTGCACTTTAGATCTTAACTAAAAT